CCTCTTCCTCAGTGGAGGCATGTCCAACTAGAAACAGAAGAGAATGTGTAAACGGTGAATATAGTACAGCCCAGGGCACGGCCTTTGAAGTGAGGCATCTGCTCCCAGGGATGAATACATGCATCAGACAAAGGGCATGAAAGAAGCACAGATGTTGGCATCAGGGATCTTTCAGAGATTCCCGGCATACATAATTAGGATGTAAAAGAGATGCTAATGAATGTTTCTGGAGAAACAGTAAACATGAGTGCCAGCAGAATAGTACATTGTCTTAAAGAGAAACATTTTATAAAATAATATGAAGTAGAGTATAATTAGCTACACGAATCAGTAAGTGGTTGTCTATTGTATAATCAAATAATGTGCATGTACATAATTGTATTGTTGCACATTCAAGTGACTAGTGGCACCGTAGTTTTACACCGGTGTCACCATCAATGTGTGGTGATTGTGCTAGTTTTTATGTCAGTGGCACAGGCTAGAGTTGTTTTTGGAGGAGAGGACTTTGAGAAAATGTCTTCAGTAGATTGACCTGTAGGCAAGTCTGCAGAGCATTTTCTTAGTGATTGAAGCGAGAACAAGCCATGGGGCACAGGCCAGTAAGCTACACTCCTCCATGGCCTCTGTATCAGCTCCTGCCGTCAGTTCCCACCCTGACTTGCCTCAGAGATGGACCTTGATTAGAACGTGTAAGCTGAAACAAACCCTTTCCCCTTCCCATAGTAACTTTTGGTTGTCACGGCAATAGAAACCCTAAGACAAATGGAACCCCACTATGTATATGTTCCATCATGGAAACCTTACTTTGTGGTGATGACTGTACCCAGTACTTGTTTCTTTGGAGGCTTTTTATTGTTTGCTTGTTGGCAGGTCCTCACTATGTAGGTTGACAGCCCTCTGGAACTCATCCAGTATTATTTCATCCTCCACCAGCTTCACCTCCCATCCTGTTTCCCTTTCCCTTTGTTTCTGCCCTGGCTGCTCTCTGAGACCTTCAGGTGCCTCTCCTTCAGCAGTCAGGAAGCAGGCTGAGCCCACCAAGCACTTTGCTGCCTCTACTGCTCCGTTCTTCATGTAACCAACTCAGCCCACATTCCTAAAAATAGAAAAGGCCCAAGAAAAGCCTCTTCACTATTGCAACACCAGGCGAGGCAGCTGGAGGGCAGGGAGTCTTCTCCCACTTCCCAGTAAGCTGTAGATGCCTTCTTAGCCAGAGGAAAGTGTTTATACCAATCCCAGCCCAAGTCACATTCAAATAGTTTAGGGTTGCTCCAAATCTGAGCGTTGCCTCTTAGGTGTAGGTGGAAGTGGTTGAGGGGAGAGACTCAGCTACAACTCTCTAAAGCTCGTGATGGCCAAAGTCTAGTACAAACTTTCTGAAGCTGTCCTGACTGAGGCTGCACTTTCACTGCCCCAGCAAGGGCATTCGTCTGAGATAAAGGCATTCCAGGAGTGGTCTAGACTGTTGGCGCTGGCCTAAGTCATGCTGGCTGTTTGAGGGACAGTTCGTGTACTCAGTGGATATACCACCATCCAGCTAGCTAAGCTATTGAGACGGTTCATGATTAACTAAGCTATGAAGATGGTTTCGCGAAGAACCTGGTTCTTGTACTGCTTGTTGGCCCCAGCACCAGTAGAAGCAGAATGAGCTAGGAAGACAAAATACAACTCACAAGGCAAACGCAGAGTGGAGGTTTGAATGCAAACAGCATTGGTTTGTAGAGGAGAATCTTAAATGTAGCTGCACTTGCAAGACTCTGTTGGTTGCTGAAACAGCTGTTTTATTCCATAAGACTGATGCCCAACACTGGTGCCTTGGAAGTAAAACTTGACATGGAGCCTAATTTATCATACATAGTAACATGCTAGCTAGGTGAATAGCTCTAATGAAGCCTCCTGTCACCAGACGTAAGTGTTCAGAATTACAACCACTCTATGTGGAATAATGAAATGTGTGGACACTGCTGCTCAGGGTTTAGGATATGTCTGCTGCTTGTACTAGGTGCCACTAGGTGACTTTCCTACACAGAATTCTGTCTTCAAATGTATTCTTATGCCAAGATTTTATCCACATACAGGAAATCCAGAGAGAATAGCATCAGAATATCTATCACAATGCTTTTTTGTTTGTAATATGGATGCAGAATACCGGGAACTGCGAACACTCTGGTCACCCAGTGCTGTAGGGCTTCTTTGATTATTTGGCAGCTCTCTTTATGTTTGTATTATCCACATTCACACCAGTATATAAAAGGCTTTCGTCACTATTAATCATTTTTGTTTCTTACCAAGCTCTGTGGTGACTGTTAACTGTCTTTATGTACTGGTTTTGTGCAGTAGCGGGAAAGCACCACTTAGAAAATTACTCACTACATTGCTCACTGCACCTACAGTCACCCGAATCAGACCTGCACGGGATTGGGCCAGTCAGCATTTAATCATGAATCTGGGGAACTTTTGACAGTTAACAGTCTGATGGGGGATGTCCTTTGTGTGTTGTGAATATATGTTTCTCTTATTGGTTGATGAATAAGGCTGTTTTGGCCAATGGGCAGGCAGGATTTAGCCAGACAGGAAATCCAAACAGGGATAGAGAAAGGTAATATACAGAGTCAGGGAGACACCATGTAGCTACTGGGAAGGTAAGATGCCTGGGCATTCTCCGGTAAGCCAAGACTACATGGAGATACACATATTAATAGAAATGGGTTAGTAATTAAGAGAGAGGTAGCCAATAGGAAGCCTGAGCAATAGACCAAACAGTTTATAGTTAATATAAGCCTTTGTGTGTTTATTTGGGACTGAAGGGCTGCAGAACTGGGCTTGACAGAAACTTGTGTCTACAACAGTCTATGGAAAAAGGAGTGTCACTATGTTGCCATTGCTGCAATAAATAAACTCCCACCTGTGTTCAAGCAAGAAACTCCCACCTGTGTTCAAGCAAGAAACTCTCACTGAACTTAGTGAGTCACACACAAAAAGTCAGAAGTAGGAGGGGTCAGGTGAGCTGAAGGATTTTAATAGGAGGGAAGAGGTGGTGAAACCAAGGGTGAAAATAACTAAAATATACTCTATAAATGTATGGAACTGTCAAACAATAAAAGAAAGGTGCTTTTTTTTCTTCAAGATAGGGTTTCTCTGTGTAACCCTAGCTGTCCTGGAACTCACTGTATAGACCAGGCTGACCTCAACTCAAAGACCTATCTGCCTCTGCCTCCTAAGGGCCAAGATTAAAGGTGTGTACCACAACTGCCTGGCCCAATGAAAGACTTTTAAAAAAGAAAATTAGCATTGCTACAGAAGCACATGACTTTAAATTATCTGGCCTTAAGGGTAAGGGGCTTAGAATTAATTTAATGTTTGTACGCTGGGGTCCAACTTACCTGCAGCAACCTAAAAATCAATGTGAGTAGGCTGTTAAATTTTCCAGTAAAATGTTGTCTGAGCCTTGCAAAAGTAGAGTTTGATTCTTAGTAAAGATAGAGATACCTAGATAGAAACTAAATAAACCCTTACTCGTGAGTATCTAAAATTTGTTTTTATTACCTTTATTTAGTGTAGGGGAGGTGTCAGGGGACAATTAAAGGGAATCAGTACTCTTCTTCCACCATGTGAGTGCTGGGGGTTTAACTCAGGTTGTTAGGCTTGGTGGCAAGTACCTTTATCCAATGAGCATCTCACCAGCCTCTCAAAAATCTAAATTATCCTTCCATGGCTATCAAAAGTTACCAACTTACTTTGTTATTTGACAAGATTTTTCCCCCTTTTTTCTCCCCAGTCTGCCTTACAAAAAACGGGAAGTTATTGTTTCTACTAATTGAGCAGGCATCTGATATTCTATATGCCCTTTGAGCTGTGTAACTTAATCCTTGAATATTCATTCATTTTTCTTTTATTACATAATTGATAAAATGGTTACGTGTAGTGATTTGAAAAAAAATGGCCCCCAAAGGGAATGACACTATTGGGAGGTGTGGCTTTCTTGGAGTGGGTGTGACCTTGTTGGAGGAAGTGTGTCACTGTGGAGGTGGGCTTTGCGGTCTCATATATGCTCAAGCTTTGCTCTATGTGACACTCAGTCTACTTCCCATTGCCTGCATATCAACATGTAGCAGCTCCTTATCTAGCACCATGTTCAGCCTGCACACTGTCATGCACCCCACCTCTGAAACTGGAAGCCATTACTTCAATTAAATGTTTTCCTTTATAAGAATTGCCATGGTAGCCGGGCGGTGGTGCACACGCCTTTAGTCCCAGCACTCAGGAGGCAGAGGCAGGTGGATCTCTGTAAATCCGAGACCAGCCTGGTTTACAAGAGCTAGTTTCAGGACAGCCTCCAAAGCCACAGAGAAACCCTGCCTTGAAAAACCAAAAACCAAAAAACAAAACAAAACAAAACAAAAACATAAAGAACTGCCATTGTCATGGTGTCTCTTCACAGCAATAGAAACCCTAAGACATCATGTGTCTTAGTGACTACATGAGTTCAACCATATACTTTAGGAACATATGATTATAATTCTGTGGGAGAAATAATTTTTCAGTGTATATTGGCTTATAACTGAATGTGCAGGCATAAACATCTAAATAAGTAATAAAAAAACACAGAAAAACAGAGCCAAAGATGAACAAAGAACTTCCTGCAGGCCTCTAGCATACCCTTCTTAGTCTTGTTACCAGAACTGACGAAGTTCATCATCCAGGTTCCTGTTCCTGACAAACTGTTGACAAGAAGAAGAGACTGACCTGAGACAGCCAGGCATGTGCCTGGAACAGAGAGAAGGGCCCAGCTTTCCTGAGGACTACTACAGGCAGCAGGAATCGATGCACAGAAATGTCTGCTGGCCTTCTGTTACAAAGCAGATGGCAGGATGGCTTCTGCAGAAATGGCGTTCACCGTAACATTAGGAGTACTACACCCATAGCTGTGCAGTGTGTGTGGTCTGAGACAGTGTGAATGAAGAGTAATATCTTAATGCTTTTATCTTACTGTCCCATAGGAGCTGGGTAGCACTGAACCTGTCAGTAGTGAGGAAGACAGCAGTGTGGACGTTAAACATCTGCCTGAAACTGAGAGCCCCAAACTGGTAAGAATCCTAGTCTGGGAGGGCTCAGAGCTTGCACTTACTACCCCTAGAGGAAGGACCGCCTGCCTGCTCTCTTGGTGCTTTGAACTCTGAGACAGGAAGAGCTTTCCACTCAGCAAGTGAGTGGTTCTCACAGCCCAGCCTCCCTCTTACCATGCTTGATCTGTGCTGTCTGAGACTACAGCTGAAGGCACTCCTTCCAATGCAGTTCAGCCCTGGGCATTTCAAGGGTCTGAACGGAAGGAACATTAGCAACACTCTGGGAGGTGATGGCTTTGATTCCTAGAAAAAGACACATAGTTGTCCCAGATGAGGGAGTTGTGGCTCTCCCACCATGTGCAAGCATCTTGTTTAATTGTCCGCTTTGACCCAACCTCTCTGGTGTGTTGTACATCCGTAAGGGTGGTTACCAGTCCTTTGTAAACAAGGACACACAGTTAAAGAAGTTTATTTCCTTCAAAGGTCAATGGCTGCTTTGTGCAAATGCTCTCTGTGTCCATGCCTTTTTTCATGATGTGCCTTTCTGGTTTGTAGCCATTCGCTTCCAAAGTTAACTAAGTTGTTTAAAAAGGAATGTGGGTTGGTTTGGGCTCTTGTTTCCCTGCCCCTCTGAGTTTTAAATATCTGTAGACCTACCCCTTAGATGATTTTAAATCTGCCTGATGTTTTATTTTACTTGAAGGAGTTTGAGAAGTCATCTATTTATTTATCTTTTTTCAGCTTTTAGGAAAACTTGTATTTTAACTGCTTAGATTTTTATCTCCAACTAAGTGAACTGATTTGTTCAGCTAGAAAGGAAAAGTTACTTCACCAAGAGTAGAAACTGTAGCAGACCGCAGTCGGACAAACCTCCTTGGGATCCAAGATTCCCAGTACCAAAGGGAGCAATAATAACACACAGGAACTCCTGTTCCTCTTCCAAAAGACAATGCATGTCTGCACTGGAAGGCCATTCATTTAAATACCAGTTAGCTTACTCTTTGGGACACCACGTCACTGTGGCTACGTTAGAGCAGTGATTCTCAACCTTTCTAATGTTGCCATCCTTTAATACTCATGCTCCTCATGTTGTGGTGACCCCCAACCATAACATTACTTTGTTGCTGCTTTATAACTGTAATTTTGATACTGTTATGAATTATAATGGTAATAACTGATATGTAACCCCAAAGGTGTCATGACCCACAGGTTGAGAACCACTGCATTAGAGAAAAGTATTTTAAAGCAACATGATTTTTGTAGCGGCCCTCAATTCAATCCCCAGAAGACCTTTGAGAGAAGGAGGGGGGGAAGGAAGGACATCCTCTTATTTCTTGAAGAGTCTGAGAGTACCAACAAGGCTTTCCTGTAGGCTGCAGATAGAAGGCATCCTTCATCCACTCTGCTCCTAGGCACCAATAGTAAAGAGATGGTTCACGGGCAGCTTAAGAGGCCTGAAGTATTGAACTTCATTTAAAAAGCTTTGTGTGTGTATGTGTGTGTGTGTGTGTGTGTGTGAGAGAGAGAGAGAGAGAGAGAGAGAGAGAGAGAGAGAGAGAGAGAGAGAGAGAGAGACAGAGAATGTGAATGTGTGTGTGTGTGTGTGTGTGTGTGTGTATTTTGCCTGCATGTATGTCTGAGTCTGGGCTTATTTTTAGATATCAATTCATCCAAAAATAACTAGATCCCCCACTCTTGTTATGTCTCCCCTTTACTGCTTCCCCTCCCATCTTCCTTGTTTTTTAGTATTCTAAAATTTCTATCATCATTTCCAGTGGAACCTATCCATGGTCTGCGAGAAGAAAGATAGCCTGAATTTGGACATATTTTCTAATGTAATATAAATGGTCTCATAAAAAAATGAGTTTGGCCTTAGCCTGTTGTTGTGGTGGCACACAACTTTATTCCCTCAGATTATATTCCTAGTAAAGGGTAGAACCAGGGTCTGCATTACCTGGGGAGTTTGGCTTCAGTGTTTACTAGTCTCAGACTTGGGATAATCTTCATGCTTCAACCTTCCAAATGCTGGGATTACAGATGTGAGCCATCATACCTGGGCCTCAATCCCCTAGTGAGTTTTTATTTTTGATGTTGGTTTTGTAATTCTTACTAAAGTATTAATGGGTAGTAATAAAAGGGTTGGGTTCAGACTGGTTTGAAGTGCATATAAAATAAATTAATTAAAGAGATTAAATTTACACATAATACATTTTACATTGGTCAGTAAGCTATTCATAGACAAACAGATGTTTCATAAAATGAAAGAAACTAAAACATTTCTAAAGGCAGCCTGTGCCAGGCATGTTCACAGCAGCTGTCTTGTTGAACCCCAAGATGCTTGTGGTCTTGACTGCTGAGGACTGTCCTTAGAGGGTGACAGTCTTTTCTGAGATCTCATAGCAGGGTACAGCCAAGCCTCAAGCCCAGTTCTGCACTGTGTTGATCATATAGGTAACCCCACTCCACTCCTCTCATGTACATTGGTGTTTTCCCACATGTATGTCTGTGTGAAGATGTCAGATCGCCTAGAGCAGGAGTTACAGACAGTTGTGAGCTGTCATGTGGATGCTAGGAATTGAACCCTGATCCTCTGGAAGAACAGCCAGTGCTCTTAACTGCTGAGCCATCCCTCCAGTCCTAGATGACTTTTCATAGAGTGAAAGAAATATCAGGGATCTGTTTTCTGAAACAGTAAATATTAATCATCTCGTGTGTGTGCAGGGAGCCCAAGGATGAGCAAAACTTCGGACTCTGTCCGTTGCTTGGTTAGAAAAGGTCTTCTAGGTACCTAGACTAGCCTTGGACGGGTGATACTCCTACCTCAGCCATACAGTGCTGGTGCTATAGGCATGTATCACTATGCCTAGCTGGGTTTTTAAAGGGCTTGAGATGCACAGGTGCTCACACTAGGCTTCCATGTTTAGAAGCTTGGTAGTTAGGTGGGAAGGAAGGAGTATAAGCAAATGGGGTCCATTGCGTTCTTATTATTGACCTCTGTGTAGGCTGCTGCCTTTGTGTCTCTAACCCTGTCTTGGCCACACTTTTCTGTTTTCCTGTAAAGCCAACTTACCTTTTCTGTCTTCTTGGCCATCTTCCATGCTATTACAGTTACTAATAACAAAACAACTCTAAGAAACCAGCTCACAATAATTAATAAAGAGAAAACTAAGGTAAACAATGGGAAAGAATGCTAATGTTTCTCCAAAGATATACAAATAATGGGTAAATATGTAAAAGATGTTCAAGATTTTTACCACTAGAGAAATGCGCATCAGGACTCCAATGAGATGTGGCCTCATACATCAGTCACAGTGAGGTATGGCTGTGCAGTTAGCAGAAAAACTATAATCAACAAAGCAGATAATGGCAGGAACTGTGGGGTGTGGAGGGGCTGGAACCCCACTCATTAATCACTGGCAGGACTCCCAAGAGTGTGCTAGTTTCTAGGAATCTGCTACTGAAGGTAAAGAGATACTGACTCCTATGTTGGCTGCATCACAACAATTGTATGGAGATCTCTACTTTGATAGAGCTAAGGACCAAAAGTACTTGGCGCTCACAGGTCATATGAATGAGGGGCTCATCTAGGATCATCTGAATTTAGATTTAAAGAAGCTGTCAATATATTTATCTCTTAGTCTCTATATGGGAATTAGTTTCCAGGCCCTGAAGATACCAAGTCTTTAGATGCCCAAGTCCCTTTATAAAATGGTAAGGTGTTTGCTATAATCTATATCCATTCTCTTCTGTGGTGTGAAAGCTCAAACGGAAGCTCATTTTACCACTTTAAGATTCCATCCACTGGGCTGCCTGGGTCTTAGCAGCACCCTGTTCCCTGATTTGAGGTGCCTGGTCTGTGTGAGATGTGCAAACACTCTTCAGGGAAGATCAGTTTTTCCTGTATTAGACAGTGCCTGTGTGTCAAGATGCCCTGATGTGACTCCCTTTCCAAATGCGAGGACTGTCAGGTACCAGTCAAGAGCCTGAGTCTGAAAAGACCTGGAGTGGCTCACACTGCCCATCTCTGACTCCTCCCCCAAGCCTGGCTCTTTGCTGCCTCTTTGTTGTGAGGACTGAGTGTGATTCTCTACATGAAACTCTACAGCACTTGCCTGAAGCGTGGCTTAGTCAGCAGATTCTAGCATTAATACCAGATCCTGCCTAGGTAAAATCCAAGTGTGCCAAAGACCTAATTTGTCAGCCCATATTTTCTTAGAAGCTGCAGTATAACTAACTCTAGGAAGTAAAAACACGTAAGATATAATTCAGATTGAGGAGTGCAACAAAACAGCTCACATTTTTGTCAGGGGCCTGGCCACCCAGCAGATATCTTTCCTTCAGTCAGCACAGTGTTTCTAAGAGGGTCAAGCCACATTTTATATATAGGAGCTTTTAATTTTTAAATAAGTAGTTTCATAAATCTTTGAGAATTTCATTGTGTATTTGTGATTATACCCACCCTCAACTCCATCTAATGAAGGGTATGTCCACTGTATCCTGTCTAAATTCTTCATTTTAGATGTCCCCTTTTTGATAGTAACACATGATGGCTAGCCTCACACTGTTAATCATTCCTGGCTTACAAGGCTCCAGAGGCATGTGCTACACCCTAATATTACTTTGTGTGGTGAGGGGGGTGCAGATGTCAGGGAACAGAAGCTAGACATCAACCTCAAGTCTCTTCCTCAGGCACCATGTGCCTTGTTTTCTGAGGCATTCATTCTCTCACTGGCCCTGAGACTCCCTAGTCAGCTCGCCCGTGGGATCCACCTATCCCTGCCTCCCCAGCTCTGGAGTGCAGGTGTGCACCACTCTGCCCACTTTTTATGTAGGTTCTGGAATGTCAACACCAAAACACAAGCATTTTATGCACTGACTTCTGTCCTCTGCCTTCCACCTAGTGTCGCATCCCCAAGGGTCATTTTAAAAGTTTCACAGCCTGTGTGAGAAAAGTCCTCTTCATTTCATGTTGCGTCCCTGGGTTAAAGAGAGCACTACACACAGATAAACACAGACAAGAAGCAGAGGAGAAAAGGCTACCTGTGGTTTAAACCAGATCCATGGGAGGCTGAGACTGTGGGGAGCCGGAGGGGAGAAAATGTGCTGAGACCATACCATGGTCATGTTGGAACTCTGTCTTTCAGGGTAATGATGTGGTTTCTAGTTTCTGACGTCCTTTATTCTTCCCTGATCTTGGCACTGACACTCAACTTTTAAACTTAATTCTAAGGGATTTTCTAGTGACTGTAGGTTTGTTAGAGTTTACTTCCTGGCTGGCATTTCCAACAGATGTGACTGCACGTCCTCACTCCTGTTTCAGATCCACCACAGAGATGGCATCTACAGCAAGGGTCTGGGATTCTCTGCAAGAACAGGAAACTGGCTGAGCCAGCACTGGCCCCTCTCACGAGAGTGTACAAATTGCCAGTGTGGAGTTCAAGTGCATTCAAATATGTGGCATTTTCACAGCTCATTATTCTTTATGTCTCCATCTCGGAGACAACTTGGGATTTGCTCAGATGATAAATTTCCCTTTGTAAGTCGTAAAAATGACAGTGAACTTCTAATCAAATTCACTTCACGGGCGTGCAAGAGAAACCTTTTGGCTTTTTCATTCATCCCTTTCCCTATTGTATGGCAATGAAAACCACAGAGACGGAAGAGCGACAAGAAAGGCAACCTCTTGAATGCAAGAATGGAAGGGGGACACATTTTAACAAGGGTTCACACCTCTTGCTCACCTCTGTCCCACATCACCCCACCCCACCCCTCCTGCCCAGTGACTGGCCCACTGAGGAATCTTAGCTGAATTTGCACTTGCCTGGAAGCAGTTACTTGCTAGCAACATTTTTTTTTCTGAATGGAGAAAGGAGTGCTACAGCTGTAATTCCTAGTGGTCACCTGCCAAGGACTAAAATGACACGAGGAACAGGGCACAGATCTCAGGCTGTCTTGCCCATCCCAGGGGCCTATAGTGTCTGGGCTTCTTGGAAAGCAGCTTGCTCAGCACTGGCCTGTGAGGGAGACTTAGCTTCCTGGATAAGCCTTGCTTGCTGGTATAATATTAACAATCTGGAAAGCTAAGACCTGTGTCCGCTATGGTGTCTTTCAAAAGAAACTGTAAATCCACAGAATCTTACAGATGTAAACCAGTTGTACTAAAGACCTTTGAGTCCTGGCACATCACTGACCATAATGCCCACGGCTCAGTCTACCCAGGAGCTTCCAGAACTGCTGAGGGTAGTGGGAGGTAACGTTCGCAGTGCTCACTGTGTACCCTAAAAAGCACCATCCTCATCCATACTGTATGGGAGAACAATGCCTTCTATTAGAACAATGGTCCTAATATTAACCCATGTTTTACATGAGATCAACCCTATTATTAACCCATCTTATAGATAAAACTGAAGTATGAGAGGTAAATGATACAGATAGGATATGGATACAACTTTAAGGAAGTAATTAGTAGGGCTGGGGATATGAAACAGTGGGTAAGGTGTTTGCTGTGCAAGCATGGAGTTCTGAGTTCAAAAACCATGGGGAGTAGAGAAGGAAAATCCCCAGAGATTCTCAGGCCAGCTAGCCTGGCATATGCGTGACAAACAGACCCTGTCTCAAACAAGCCTGAGATTGGCCTCTGATCTCTGTGTGCATACTCAGGCTTGCACATACCACACACACTCATGAATGTACATATCACACTCACATACGGATTTGAAGGAGGGATCACTGCTCATATACAGGTACTCCCAGCTAGTTAGGAGGCAGAGTTTGACCTTCTCATACATCCAGATCCCACCTCCAGATATTCTTGGTATTATAAATATTAAAAGGACAGTTGGGGTCCATTCTCCAACAGCCTGGGACAGTTTGCTGTGAAAGACATTTACTCCTTTTAGTGTTTTGATGACAGCTCAGATGCAGACATCTGGTTGAGGATCTTCATTCTTACGTTGTTGGAGCTGTCACCGTCACCCTGGGATTTGCCACTTCCCTTAAGTTTAGCTGAGCTGAGAGAAGAGATCACAGATTTCCACAGAAATTATGATCTCATGAAAGATTCTGAAGTGGTTTCATGAAAGATTCTGAAGTGGTGTGGAAGGCTGATATCTTTCAGTGTGCAAACTCATTTTGGAATGTAAAGAATTCCTTTGGGTAGACCTTTGTCACTGAGCTGTGTTCCTGAACTATGAAACATGAATAAGTGGGCTAGGGATAGTTTCTCTTTCAAAGAAAAGTTCAGGTGCCGTGGGAGTCTTTGATGACCTTACTTAGCCAAAATTAGAAATTTACTTAAAGGCTATAGGTGTTGTTGCTCATGCCACCTGTAGTCACTGCAGGGACAGAATTATCACTCAACTCAGCAACAGCAACAGTTGGTGCCAGGGGTGTCTCAGCTGTGCTCATCATCCAGACTGGCCTACACCCCAGCATAATGTCTCTCCTGAGGCTAGGTCTCTGCCAGAACAGAGCTGACTCTCCTCCCTTGAGTCACTAGAATCTGAAGACTTCTGTTCTTGTTTGGTCCCATGGGGTGCTTTAGTTCCCTAGTTCCAGAGCAGGAGTGTGGTGATTTGAATGAGAATGGTGTCCATGGACTCAAATGTTCGAATGTTTGCTTCCCATTTGGTGGAACTATTTGGGAAGTATTTGGAGGTGTGGCCTTGTTGGAGGAAGTGTGTCATGAAGAGTAGGCTTTGAGGTTTCAAAAACATACACCATTTTCAGTTAGCACTCTCGATGTCCCTCTCACTTTCTGTCTCCTCTCTCTCTCCTCACTTTGTCTGTCTGTCTGTCTGTCTCTGTTCCCCCCTCAAACTTTAGATCTCAGCTACTGCTCCAGCACCATGCCTTCCCACTGCTGCCATGTTCCCTGCCATGGTGGTCATGGACTCAGCCCCAGACCCTCTAAGAAAGCCCCCAATAAACTTGGCTCTAGAAGTTAGTTGCCTTGGTCCTGGTGTCTCTTTAAAACAGTGGAAAGGTAACTAAGAGAAGGAACCCACCTGGTTTGAGAGTCGCAGGCCAGACCTACCTCTCATCATAACTCATCCAGAAGAATCCAATATGGCCTTAACAGCTAACCCTCACAAGTGCCATCTGCTGGTCCACGTGACTTCATTGCATGAAACAGTGTCTAAAGGAGTTCCCATGCTGTGCTGAGGCTTTGGGTGCCAACCAAATGTGTGTCCATGTGTTTCAGGAGCTAAGATGCAAACTCAGCATCTTCAAATGCCCCTGTGCTCAGATGTAAAGGCACTAAGAACTCTGTTGTGCAGTGGCTGGGAGGTGAGCACTTTCTAAGCCTGTGTGTCTATGCCAAGGGAGGGACCTGTGTTGCTGCAGGGGCCATGAAGTGCTCAGCACAGCGTGTGGAGACAGATGTGCACACTCTGGCCAGCACTTCAGTTGAAATGTCTGAAGACTAACTTACTTTCTTTCTCACAGTATCTCCTAGTCTCTGGAATAGGCATCTTAGAGGTGGGGTGGGGACTCTAGTGTCAGGAGTTGAACCCTGGAAGTGGTTTAATTCAGCACAAACACAAATCTAGGGAAGCTAGTGTAATGGAGAAGAAATGGACTAGCCTGGGTTCACTTGTGTGGATTCATCCAGTGGGAAATGGAGAGTACATATGTGCTGTCTGGGGTCATTTTTGAGATAGAGCAAGGCCCAGGGGCCGTCAGAGGTGGAAGAGACCTACGATGTTACTGACTGATTGTATCTTTTACATTTCAGGAAGACCTGTCCCAGGTGGTTGATCACAACATGGGGGCAGAGCAGCAGAAGGCATTGGAGTCACCTGACACTGTGGTAATTATGTTTGCCATTTCCTCTGTTGGGGTAGTATGTCATGTGACCTGTACTCCACAAGAAAAGGAGATGATTATAATGTCAAATCCTTTCCTGTTGGCAAAGGTTAAGGTGTCTTAAAACCTGGTGTCCATGCACAGTTATGTCACTGATCACACAGGTATGCAGAAGTGTCCTTTCTTCACCATTCTGTTCCAGTAGTCTAACCAGGTGTTCAAAAGATGGCTCAGCAGGTAAAGGCACTTGGTGTCAAACCTGATGACCCAAGTTCATGGTGAAGAGAAAACTGACTCCCAAAAGTGGTCCTTTGACCTCCACACCCAATCCACAGTACACACACACATATACTTGTACATATATGTACATATGCACACATACATACATACACATATATACACACACACATACAAGCATATACACATGCATATGCACAAAATTTTTTTTTTTTTGGTTTTTATGAGAGACAGGGTTTCTCTGTTTCGGAGGCTATCGGTCCAGCCCGGCCTCGAACTCACAGAGAACCGCCTGCCTCTGCCTCCCGAGTGCTGGGATTAAAGGCGTGCGCCACCACCGCCCGGCCGTGACACAAAAATATTTTTAAGACATCTTTTTGCAGTTAATTTTTTTTTCGGTTAAATTTTAAGAGTGCCTTTATCTTACACAATGCCATGAATAAAATTTTCAGATGGAAGAATTTATAGTTTGATAAAGATACAATAACTTTAGTGTTCCTCACATTTTAAATTTCATTTTTCTTTAAAAACTAGAGGTTTGAAGACATCACTGAGTGGAAGAGTTAAACACCTTGTATGTGCCAGGCCTTAAAGCTTATAAACTGGTTGGTTGCTTGGTTGCTTGGTTGCTTGGGTTTTGGGGGGAGAAGGGGTCAGGGTCTTATGTAGCCCAGGTTTGCCTCAAACTAGTATAGCCAAGGCTGACCATGAACTCCTGCCTCTGTCTCTCAAGTGCTAGAATGTCTGGCTTCATGCCCTCACCCGGCAAGCTATCAACTGTGTCTATCAAATCTTTATTGCTATTAATTTTTTCCTTGCTTTTAATTCCTGGTTTTCATTTCTATGTACTAGTTTATACTTTAAGAATTGTTTTTATTTTAACTATATATACCTGTAAGTGTCTGTACGTGAGTATGCATACATTTCCTACTTAGGGTTACTATTGCTGTAATGAAACACTATGACCAAAAGCACGTTGGGGAGGAAAGGGTTTATATTGCTTACACTTCCATATCACAGTTCATCATCAAAAGCAAGCAGTGCAGGAACCTAGAGACAGGAGCTGATCCAGAAGCCATGCAGAAATGCTGCTTACTGGCTTGCTCATCATGGCTTGCTCAGCCTGCTTTCTTATAAACCTATGACCACTTGCCCAGGGTTGCCCCACTCACAGTGAGTTGGACCCTTTCCCGTCAATTGCTAATGCCCTACAGGGTTTCCTACAGCTGGATCTGTACGTAGTCTGTTTCTCAATTGAGTTTCCCTCCTCTCAGATGACTAGCTTTTGTCAAGTTGACATAAACAACAAAACAAAACCAAAAATCAGCCAATTGATCCCTAGTTAGCTTGATACACAAACACATCGCTTTTGACAAGAACATTTGTCCAGTCACTAGACAACTCCAAAATCTCTTTAAAAGTTTAAAGTCTCTCAGCTGTGGACTCTTATAAAATAAAATTTAAAAAATACTTTTTTTACTTCAAGAGAGAAGACCCAGAGCATAATACCAAACTTGTGGGAGTCCCTGCAAATGCTACAGTTGGCAAAGGAACTTCAGCAGGACTTAATTAGCTGGGCTGGTTCAGACTACCAGACTGTGACCCTGAGCAGTTTAATGTTTACATATTTAAACACAGTACAAATTTGGAAAAGATTTCCTCATGGCAGTTTTCACAAGAAAGCTTACATGATCTCATAGAAACATCTCTTTTGCAAAGTGCCTGTGAGCTCTTTCATAAGGATGGGCTCTACTGACTGAGAAGCAGTGCTCAGGGTGAGGGTCTAGGGAGGAAGGGTTTATAGTAAGCATAATAGTAAACTCCTCTGCAAAGTGCATGGGACTGCTTTCCCAAGAATGGATTCTGTTGACAAGAAACAATGCTCAGGAGTCTGGGGTATTCTACAGAATAGCAAAGATCACCAGGACATTAACAACACACACCCCCAGTCTTCTAGGTGGAAAACAGGTGTAAATTCCTTCTGTTGGAGAGAAAAACCTGCCGAGTATAACATTCCTGGTTTCGCTAGTACTATCTGTGAAGAGGAGGATGTCATGCCCTGTACACAAACTCAGGAAATACCTCAGTGTCCAATGTCTAGAATTTACTCCCAATCTCCTGGGTTCCTACAGAGTTTGTACAGCCATCCACAGCACACACAACTTGTCTTCTAAGGTTAGGCTGGCTCCATTCCAGCTGCTGTTGTCTTTGGTGATAATCCCATGGTACTGGCATCTGCAAAATGCTGGGGCTTCAACTGCTACTGAGGCTGCACTTCAACAATGGCCTATGCTGACATTTCATGTTGCCAAGACTCAGTTGCTTTCCATGACCCCTTCATGACTTCAAAAGCAGTACCATCTGGGTAACTCTTAAACATGACCAAGTTCAGGGGCTAGCATGAGCTACAATCTCAGTTCCTCTGGAACAGAATTTTCTGTGTGTCTACCCTAAGGAAACACTTATCTGAAGATTTCACCTTGATGATTTTGGTCTCCTCCTCCTCTCCTCTTCTTCCTCCTCTTCAATAGCACTGACAATGTGAAGTGATTTTTTTCTTTTATTTAAATTAGAATCAAGCTTGTTTTACGTATCAATCCCAGTTCCCTCTCTCTCCTCTCCTCTCCTGGCCCCCACCAACCCCCTATCCCATCCTCCCTCTGCTCCCCAGGGAGGGTGAGACCTTCCATGGGGGATCTTCAAAGTCTGTCATATCATTTGGAGCAGGGCCTAGACCCTCCCCTGTGTGTCTGGGCTGAGAGAGTATCCCTCTATGTGGAGTGGGCTCCCAAAGTCCATTCGTGTACTAGGGATAAATACTGATTCTCTACCAGAGGCCCATAGATTAACCAGACCTCTAAACTGGCATCCTCGTTCAGGGGGTCTGGAACAGTCCTATGCTGGTTTCCCAGCTATCAGTCTGGGGTCCATGAGCTCCCCTTTGTTTAGGTCAGCTGTCTCTCCAGCTCATCACTCCTCCCTAATCACCATCTATTTTTCAGCTCTAGCTGACTAGCATCAATTATCCAAGTAAAGCAAAGGTTTCACTTCAATAGTGTAAGTCTCTTGTTAATCACAGCCGATTCTTCAGCTCCAACTGACCAGAAACCATACCTCCATAATTCAAAATAGCAAATGTACTCTGAACTTCACCAACCAGGCTTCCATCATTTGCATTTCTCTCAACATTCTTATCTTTCAAGTTCCACAGACAGCAATCCAAACTTTGGCTTTTCCAGCACAAAGTTCCAAAGTCCTTCTACAATCCTACCAAAAACAACAATTTGGTCTGTCATAGTAACACCTCAGAACCCTGCTACCAATGTCTGTCTTAGTTTCTATTGCTGTGATGAAACACTATGACTAAAAACAGCTTCGGGGAAATGGATTATTTTACTACACTTCTGTATCACAGTTCATCAAAGGCAGTCAAGGGAGGAACTCAAGCAGGTCATGACTCATGAATCTGGAGTCAGAAGCTGATGCAGAGGCCATGCAGGAGTACTGCTTACTGGCTTGCTCCTTATAACTTGCTCAGCCTGCTTTCGTATAGAACCCAGGACCACCTTCCAGGTTTGGCACCACCCACAGAGAGCTGGGCCCTCCCTTGTCAGTCATTAAGCAAGAAAATGCACTATGGGCTTGCCTACAGCTGATCTTGTAGAGGCATTTTCTTAGTTGAGATTCACTCCTCTCAGATGACTCTAGTTGGTGTCAAACTGACACAAAACACTCAAATGCTGATGCCTGCTGAAGCCAGAAGAGTGTGTCTGATCCCCCAGAGCTGGAGTTACAAGTGATTTGAGCCACTGGATAGGTGCTGGGCTGGCAAGCACATCCTCTGCAAGATTCTTAACTGCTACCTCATCCCTCCAGCCCTAGTTTATATTTTTATGTCACAAAACTTCCGTTATTCAGGAACTATAGATGACAAGGGCATATAGAGGGTTGGAGAGATGGCTCAGAGGTCCTGAGTTCAATTCCCAGCAACCACATGGTGGCTCACACCCATCTGTAATGAAACCTGGCACCCTCTTCTTGTGTGCAGGGATATATGCAGGCAGAAGACTGTATATATAATAAATAAATAAATAGTATATAGAAAGTACACAATAGCTGGGTGTGGTGACACATGCCTTTAATCCAAGCACTTGGGAAGAGAAGCTGGTGGATCTCTGAGTTCAAGAACAGCCTGGTATACTAAACTAATACTAGGACGGTCAGGGCTAACCAAAGAAACACCACCACCCCAAAAATTTTGATATTTCAAACATTTCCACATAAAGTGCTTTTGAAAATTCTCTATAATTATATTCTAAACATGTCAGTAAAAACAAATGTGTGTAGGCATGGGGATGTGGTTTGCCAGTAGAATACTTAGTTAGCATGTCTGAGGCCCTGGGTGTCATCTCTTGCATCACAGAAGGAGAACTATGGAAATACTAAGGTCTGCTCTGGAGAGATAATTTAGTGGTTAAGAGCACTGGCTGTCTTCCAGAGAGGACCTGGGTTTGATCCACGTGGTGGCCCCCAGTCACCAGTAACCACAGTTCCAGCAGCTCTGATGCCCTCTTCTGGCCTCCAAAGGCCCCCGCATAAACATGGTACACAGAATACATACAGACTAAATACCCATGTACACAGAATCATAAATAACTTTTTAAAAACAGCTACATTCAGTTCAACCAGCAGTGGGTACAGTTCAGCCCCTGCTGCTTCATTATGATGCCAGTAGTGCTGATATGCAGACAATTTGGACACTCACTGGTTCGGATGTGCAGCAGACATCAAACCTCTTCTGCCCACTCTTTTCCCTGCTGAAGAATGAGCACTGCCACCTGCGTTTTGTTTTGTTTTTTGAGACAGGGTTTCTCTGTGTAGCTTTGGAACCTGTCCTGAAATTCACTCTATAGACCAGGCTGGCCTTGAACTCACAGAGATCCCCCTACCTCTGCCTTCTGAATGCTGGGATTAAAGGCGTGTGCCAATACCACTTGGCTTTTTTTTTTCTTTTGTATTTTTTCTTATAAAAACAAAAACTACAGAACCGAATGAACATCCCTAGAACTATAGTCTAGCAGCTGTTTCCTAAGAACTCTGATGGTAGCATTCTTCAAGAACCGATTACCAGTCACCGTCTTCCTCTAATTATCTGTGTGATGATACTGTCTAATACTGAGGAATGTTCTTGTGATGGAGGTCTCCACAATACAAATGCACTGTGGTTAGAATTGTCTTAGTCCTTGTATACTTCATACCTTGTACTGAGGAACAGTCTTCCACAGACAGAATCTTGGAGTATTATCTTTCTGGAGCAGATATTTCTGGAGTTCAGAGACAGCCTGGCATGTACTGGAATCCAGCAGGCAAATCACATCACTACCTCCACATTTTATGTAACTCTTGAGACGGCACACGGTTCTTCATTTTTCTTAGCTAGTTAATGCTAATATTCACCGAGGGTGATGTCAGCAAAAGTACAAATTGCAAGTTAATGTTTCACTTATATCCTACTCCACCCTTGTTTTTTGTTTGTTTGTTTGGTTTGGTTTGGTTTTTCAAGACAGGGTTTCTCTGTAGCTTTAGAGCTGGTCCTGAAACTCGCTTTGTAGTCCCAAGAGTATTGGGACTAAAGGTGTGCACCACGATCGCCCAGCTGCTTCTCCCCTTTTTTGACCAAGCCTCCAAGTATCTTCGGAGCAAATAAATAGGAGACAATAAAAAAAGTCAACCTGGCTTTCCCTTGCCGCCTCTCTGAGCATCCAGTTGTCTCAAAGCATGGTTTTGAAGCTACCATTATTTTAAGAACAATAATACAGCAATTGTACAGTGCTTTTACTGCTTCTCTCCTCCTTGACATTCATGCAAATTTCCTTCCTTTTGTAGGCTGCCTGCCAGATGAAACAGCAAACATATTCGTCACGAGCCCCCTTCAACTCACAAGAGACCCCATTAGCACCAAGTCCGTTGAGTCAGGCAGAAGATACAGACTTCACAGACCCTGGTATGAATCTGTCCAGTCAAAACTGGCTTGTGAAACCTTTGGAGAAGAACACTTCATGATGCTCTGAGAAAAGAATGAGGCGGCAGGCTGTCACATGGCTCTGTAGCCCTCCTCGGCTTCCATAGTTTTGAGCTTGAACACCCCACTTCCTACACTGTTTCTCATTTCTTTAGCATCTGCATTGCCTAATGTTTACTGAATATAAACACAGAAGAGAAAAGGCCTCCAAAGAGGCATTTGATGACACTAAAGCACACAGATTGCCTGCCAGTCTCTCCCCAAGTCATGGATAGTCTCCAAAATCACAAGGCAGGCAGTTTTTAACACTATGCATATTGATAGAAGGCACTGAGGATTTATTTTTCAGTAGAGAAGTTGGCATTCAGAGCCAGGCATGGTGGTACCTATAATCCCAGCATTTGAGAAATTAGGAATTTAGGGTCATCCTCAACTACATATGAATTCAAGGCCAGCCTGGGCTCTAGGAAATCTAGTCTCAAAAGAAAGTGGAGAAGGGAAGGAGGCAAGGATGGAAATCATGTTGTAGCTTAAGTGATGAAGAATGAGGGTTGAAATGGAGCTTCAAAGCAAGTGATCGGATTTCCACTTTGCTTTTATGTAGTATTTATCAATCAAAAGCCAAGGAGTGGGCACACTGCTGCTGGAGAGATGGCTCAGAGGTTAAGTGCTGCTCTTCCAGAGGACCAGAGTGTGAGTCCCAGCACCCAAAGCAGGCAGCTCACCTGTAACTTGAGCCCTAAGAGATATGACACTTTTCTTCTGGTCTCCTGAGCTCATGCACTCACGTGCTCTTGCCCATGCACATACATATAATTAAAAATAAATAAAATCCCAGCATTCAGGTAGGCAGGTCTCTGTGAGGTCGAGGCCTGCCTGATCTATATAGTGAGTTCTGGGCCAGTCAGAACTACATAGAGAGACCTTGTCTCAAAAACAAACAAACAAGAAGGCTCACCATTGTGCTGACTAGCACCCTTTTTCATAAATGTCTCTCTGTAAGAAGTTTAGCAAGTAGTTGTTTGGTTTTATATTAAGGTACTTAGTGAATATCATCAGCAAACAAACTGTGAACCACAGATTAAATGTAGCCCATCATCACCTGTTTTTGCTTCATCCAGGAGCTAGAGATGGTTTATTTTAAAGACTGAAAACAACTGAAAGCCAATTTTATGAAAACTACATGAAATTCATACTTCAGCACTCCTTAACATAGTGTCATCACTGTTCTGATGCTCTGTGACAGTTAAGTAGTCCCAGAAGAGACAATGTGGCCTAAAATGCCCAAACTTAAATACTGGCCATGGATACAGACCAGGCAGATCTGGCTAATGTATATTAATAGCCATCCATGGCCCTGAATCTTAAGTTCTAGAAACTTTATTTCTCATCCACTTAAAAATATTTATTGAAGTTGGTATGAGTCAGGCTCTGAGCTGTGTTGTGTGAGAGAAATAAATGGAAAGATTGACTGGAAGATGGCAGTTAAGAATGAGCGTTTGTAGCTCTTGTAGAGTCAGATTTTGTTTTGTAGCAGTGAATGTGAAATAGGGATGTTCAAACCAACTGTAACTCCAGTTCCAGGGGATCTGGTGCTGTCTTCTGATCCCTGCTGGCACCAAGCACCCACATGATGTGCTGATATACACACAGGGAAAGCACTCATGCACATAAAATAATAAATCTTTCCAGACATGGTGGCACACACCTTTAATCCTAGCACTGGAAGGCAGTGGCAGGTGGATCTCTGAATTTGAGACTAGCCTGGGCTACATAGTGAGTTCTAGGATATCCAGGGCTATGTAGAGTGACCCTGTCTCTAAAACTTAAAAGTGAATCTTAAAAAACAAACAAAAAGTGACTTAGGACAGCAGGGTGGAAGGAGGGAAATGCCATCTCTAGTGTCTTCCTGTCCTCTCTCTTTACTCAGAGGACTAAACTAGTCACTCATAAAAGCAGAGTAAAGTTCAAAAGTAGCCGTGAGTTGTACCAGCCTTGTATGCCATGTTTATGGTAGATTAATGGGGAACATTGTGAAATATATAGACTGCAAAAAGAAAAAAGAAAGAAAAAACAGAAAAATCTTAATGTTCTCTTTCTGAAGTGGTACTTTTTGTTATTTCTGGGGCTGTGTCACTGGATTGCTCCATCTTAGCTAGGAGGTCATTAGATCAGCAAGTCTCCTGTGTACAGCAGTGGGAGCTGGGTGAGTCCTGAAGGAGGCCAGGCTGGAGGCCAGCACCTCACCCACACTGTCCCGTCTCTCCTCTGACCTGCTCAGTAATGCTTACCTGCATTTACTCTTCAACAGTGAGCGAGTTTTACGACACAGGAATCTGCACTTCTGTCTTTTTAACCCAGCTCCCCTGTATTATCAAATGGTGATTATTAGTATTGATTAGAGAACTCCCACAGGTCCCCTTCCTATGCTAGCCTCTTTGTTTTATGTTAGAAATTTTCCTCCTTCTCCTTATCTCCTCCTCCCTTCTCTGGAGCAGGGTGCAGGGCAAGGGGACATGTCAGTCTCTTGCTTTTGTAAAAGAGACTGGCCTTGAATTCAAGGTGACCCTCCTAACTAAGGCTCAAGAGTACTGAGATAACCAAACTTTTCCATAAAGAACTGTATAGTCACTATTTGAGCTCACAGGCCACACAGTGGTTCCAGCTTTTCACCTCTACCTGTGTGGTGAAACAACATAACTAAGCATAAACGAATTAGTGGTTCTGCGTTTCAATACAGCTTTATAGACACTGAAATTTTGATTTCATATAAATTTTACCTGTCTTAAATATGGTTTTCATCTTTATTTTTTCCTTTTGAAGTTATATGAGCCCTCTTGTTATGAACAGTAGCTTGCCATTACCTGCTATCACATAGGGTAGGTAGGTCTAAGCATACATTTGAATTCAGGTCTTCTAGGTTTCTGTGCTTTAGACAGCACTGACCAGTAGGTGGCGCTCACTGTTGTCAGCCTCTGTGTTGCTACATCCACCCTTGTGATCAGACTTGGTTATAGCTAAGCTGCCTACAGAGATCACTCCTATAGAGGTTTCTGCAGAGCACCTGGTACGTGGAAAGGTCAAGCTCTTTATTAAAGTTGGGTTAGTTATACACAAAATACAGGTTTGGAAATAGATAATAGTGTTTTTAGTCATCCTTCTTGGCCTGGAAGCTCTTTTCAGTTATAGGAAAATGCATTCTTAAACAATGATTTAAGAAAGTAAACCTCCAGTTCCTGGGAATCCAGTGCTCTGGCCCCTCCAGGCACTGCACTTGTGTGCGCATACCCATATGCAAACGTCAGAACACACCTGGCTGACAATGATAAAAACAGTAAATCTTTAACCAAATAAACAAACCTCTATACAATATTATAACTCTTTTAACAAAAGCTTTCATTTATGGCCTCGGGAAGTAATTTTTCATATTTTATTGTAATACAAATGTGTGCATATGGGTTGAATAATCTTGACCATTATACTTGGGACTAGAAATATTTCTAGTTTTGGAACATTTTTATATTAGAATGAGATAGATTGGGAATAGGATTCAAATCTGAATACAGAATACATTTGTGTTTAATATACACATTCTGTGTACAGCCTGAAGGCTATTTGAGTGGGTCTATATTTTGACTTTCTCCTATATATTAAATTTTCCATTTGTGGTGTCATATCATTGATCAAAAAATTTCAGATAATCTGGACTAGGGATGCTTCACCTGTGATGTTAGAGATAACTTTTAATTAATTTTTATTTTCACTCATATACTTTGTTAAATCCATTATACATGTTAATTGATGTGGTATATTCTGATTGAAAGTATTTAAGCACTATTTTTTTCATTTATTTATTTATGTTTTGGTTTTTCAAGACAGGGTTTCTCTGTATTGTTTTGGAGCCTGTCCTGGAACTCGCTCTGTAGAACAGGCTGGTCTCAAACTCACAGAGATCTGCTTGCCTCTGCCTCCCGAGTGCTGGGATTAAAGTTGTGAACCATTACCACCCGGCACACAATTTTTTCCTATTGCTTGTTTTGTTTTTTAATTTTGCAGTATGGAAGATTGAACCTAGGACCTTGTGAGCCAAACATTCTTCTAAACTCACGGTCTTCTGTCATAATGGCTCTTATATTCACTGTAGTATGTGCTTTTGTGTAACTAAATATTTAGTCATCTTAAGTTGTTCCTTGCTGATTTTCATGGTGTGTTTTGAGTTTTCTTTTAATTAAGTATACCTAAAATTGACAGATGTGAGCAGTTAATGTTTTCATCTCAAAAGTGCTATAGCAGTGTCGTGTTTCATACTGTGGGTGAGGAGAACAATGACCCAGCTTTTCCCTTCATGGTGCCTCGTGTGAGGAGAGTAAAGCGATAAACGCACAACCCTGTGCTCCAATGAATACAAGATGAGCTGCATCTCCTACCTGCTAATCATTTTGTCTTGTCATTTTCCAGGTAACTTCCAGGCTCCTCTCTCAGTGGACCCTGCAACATGTCCCATTGTCCCTGGCCAGGAAATGATCATAGAGATATCCAAGGGGCGCTCAGGGCTTGGTCTCAGCATTGTAGGAGGAAAAGATACGCCTTTGGTAAGTATCTAGAAGTAACTTGTGTCTGCTGTCACAGAGTCAGTTGCTGGAGCTTGACAGAATATAAGTACTCATTCCCTAAAGCGTAAGGAAACTCAGAAGCTGCAGGAACTACAGAAACCTGGTCCCCTGCTCCTGGTTTGCAGGCCTCACCTCTCTGCACCTACGTACCTGTCTTAGAGCAAGTTGGCCTGTGGCTGAGTCTCCAGTGAGCAACCCAGACCAGGAGTACATGTGCTCTGAGCTTGATGTTACTGACCAAAGAGTTTTAACTCCTTATGCTTGATCAAAACATCGCAATTAGGGACTTCCATGTCCTAACTTTGCCTCTGCCTCTATAGTCATAAATTGCTGCATGGGGCATCCTGTGTAAGTGTGATGTCCCTTTCATGGAACTGTGGATGCCGGAGTTGCCCAGGCTCCACAGACAGTTGAGTTGGTGCCCCTTACACAGGCCTTTGCTTATATACAGCTCTAAGCTCCTGCATTTCTCTTTGTCTAGCATGTTACTGTGTCTGCCCAACTTTTGTTGTTGAGGACGGAGAGACCTATCCTTACTACAGCCTTTCTTTTGCTTTCTTTTGGGTGATATGACTAAGCTATATCATTAAACAATGGAATATTCATATACTATTTTAGTAACCTTGACTCACTGGGCTGTAGTAAAGCTCAGAGATTTTGTAAACACCAGGAGATAGCTTATAACAGCAGTCCTTGCCATACTATAGCCATTGAAGTAGTCTTGAGACTCTGTGTCCTGACATGGGTACTCATTCCCTCCTAAAGGCCTTTTCCCCCCATTTCTCCAAAGAGATATCCTTAAATACTATAAGAAGTAAATTTGTATTAATAAAACTGTATTTAAACAAAACAGGAAAATTAAATTTCAGAGCAGTTCTATACTGAATTCTTCCATGATAGAAAATGTAATGCTCTGAGGTCTGGAGAAATGGCTCAGTGGTTAAGAGCATGGGTTGTCATTCCAGAGAATCCAAGTTCCATTCCTAGTACCAACATGGTGTCTCATGGCTATCTATAACTCCAGTTCCATGGGATCCAATACCTGGGCACTGCACAGGCATGATGCACATACATACACATAAAATAACAAATTTAACCATCTGATCTCATTGTTGTAAAGAAGTCTTTTTTATGACTTAGACTCAGACTAATGGAGTCAGCTCAGTTGAGTGACCATGACCTTGCTGTCTCAACTCCGTTGGTGTTAATATAGTTCTGCCCTGGGTGGGACCCTCAGGATTCTCAACCCAGATGTGTGTGCTGCACTCTGGCACTAGCATGTGCTCCTGACTCTGACTGAGGACACCCAGCCTCCTCTTCCTGCAGCCCGAGGCCTTGCTGAGCATCTTACTCTGCTTCTCTTGCCACTTCAAGAAAAGCAAAGATAAAAGTTCTTCAGGAGCATCTTGAGGTTCCTAATATATCTCTCTGCCATTTGAGACTATAAATCCCACTGTCCTTGAAAGACAAGCACCACTTAAAATGAGAGATGGGACATAGCTTTTATTTCCTAACTCCATCAAAAGCCTCAAGTTAGAGTCACAATAAGTATATAGGGCTGTCTTTTTTTTTTTTTTTTTTTGCAGCCAAAAAGAGGATTGGTATGAAAAGTGCTTAAACACATTGTTCCTACAATGAAGATCTTTTTCCCTTTTTAATACTCCCCCAAATTTTCATATGAAGCATGAAAACTAACACATGGATCCTATTATCCAACCAGCAGCAGTCTGCAAACTAAGGTGTGAGTTTGTGAAAAGAAGTTGCAGGAAATGAGCTGGGTTTGAGCCGAACCTCTGCTGTTTGGGCTTATTTCAGCCCTGGTGCAGGGAAGGGCTCTTCTGACTTCCGCCCTTCCCCTCCCCTCCCCACCCCTCCCAATTAGAATCCCATATCCTTTTTGTTATGTAGCCAGTGATCTTGGCCATCTGTAGAGCTAATCTCTTGACACTTCATCAGTCCTCTGCTAGGACAGATGGCTTCTGAGATCACAGAGGGAGATCATATGTCCTGTCCTGTGTGTTGGAGTCTTCATCAGCCTTTGAAAGCACTGAGCTAATGGCAAGGGTGAACCCCTCAGAAGGTTTACAAGCACACCTGGTTCTGTCCTTGGAGAGAGCCTCCTGTGATGCCACTGCCAGGCTGGCCTCTGGAGAGCATGGTCTTCTCTGATAGCTCACATATGTTTGCTCAGTCCCTTTTACTTTGACCTGAGCTATAAGACTGAGTGACATTTCCCTGCCTTCGAAGAGTGCACACATTTCTGTTTGTTCTACTACCTTTCAGTGTTCGTGGTACTGTAGGGGATCAACCAGTGGGAAATCACAATACCCAACCTTTAGAGGGTAGGAAAAAAGGGAAGCTGTATCATTTTCTGAATCTAACTATCATAGACTGATTATTGTGTGGAAGTGGAAGCCAGGAAGCCTTGTAAAGCACATTGTGTAGCAAAGGGGGGACATTAATTCATATTTTATTTCCTTCCATTTATATGTGTATAAGTCTGTCTTTTTTTCCAGTCTTCCCTTGCTCTTGATGGCCTTGCTGAAGTATTCCTTTGACCCATAAAATACCACACACCTCCTTGATGTCATCTAATCTGTAAATAAGAAATAAAGAGTGATTGCTCTGCTGATAACTCTAGTGTTAGCCCCTCCCAAGCCTGCCAAAGACTCTTTTCAAAATGTCTGCCTCCTGATTGATAGGTCTACATCCATGTTCTTGAAGAAACAAAATATAGCACCTCAGAATATTTGGGGTTATTTTATTGCCAGACGTGGGGATGCTAGAAAGGAAAAGGGAACTCAAGGAGTAAGTCTTTATCCTGGGCCACTGGCAGGCCCTTTTCTAGATAGTGTTGTCAGCAACAGCAGCGTAGACTCTGCAACTATACCCTGGCTGCAGCAGAGCAGAGCACAGTGCTGATTCTTGGTGTAAGAACCTCAGAATGTTACCTATGAGGCATTATGCAAGTGTTATGTTAATGCCAAATGGGTACTATAGCAATGATGTTGGCAAAAGTCTACACTTAAGGTTATGTGTATTAGTCAGGATTTCCAAAGTGCCCTTTGTTGTTGTAGATAAAGGATGGGAATGATCCAGTGCCCACTGCCCTGAGAGTAAACCTCCTCTCATAAAAAATAAGAGGATGATCCAGGTGTTCCCAGTAGACTCAGTGACAGGCAGGTGTCCCATTATTACTGAGGTCCAACAAGTGATCTGCCAGCACCCAGTGCGTGTGTCATCCCTAGAGAATTCTTGGGAAAGGATGCGTTCAGCTTCTGCATAACTACTCAGCTTTTTGCTTTTGTTTTGTTTTTCAAGACAGGGTTTCTCTGTAGTCTGTCCTGGAACTCGCTCTAGACCAGGCTGGCCTCAGACTCACAGAGATCCACCTGCCTCTGCCTCCCAAGTGCTGTGGTTAAAGGTGTACACCACCACCACCAGGCACTTTTTACTTTTTAACAAAGGAGACACATTTACATTTATGGCTCTTATTTTCAAGATGATGGTATGAAAAAGCTCCATGCCCCCAAGCTTGACATCTCACGAATTTAATATTTCAATTCCAAGAGTTGTTCTATTTTGTTTAATAGGGAATAGGCCCAGGTTATTTTGGAGCTTAGCTTGCTTGTTTTATGGAAGCCATAGTCTGTTATCACTTTTACAGAGAAAAGTTTCTAAATAAAAGCTCTAGTTAGTATCTTTTCACTGTCTTAGAGTTTTGTTACAAGAGAAAAACAGACAAGGGCACTGGGTTTGCTTTTATATTTTGAGTGCTGTTCCACTAAAAGTGAGGCAGGTCAATTCTTAAGAGAGACTGTAAAGTACAGATGTTGTTTTCAAAAATCTATTGCAATATTTGTTTATCTAATGTGGTGTGTGTGTGTGTGTGTGTGTGTGTGAAAACCAGAGGACAACTTGCTGGAAGTCTGTTCTCTCCTCCACCATGTGGACCCCAGAGACTGAACTCAGATTGTTTCACTTGGCAGCACACAGGACCTCTTCTTAGTTTTGTTTTTCTAACTCTTTGACAATTTCATAATGTACACAGAGTATCTTGATCATATTTATCCTTCACTCCCCACTTTGACTTTGTAGATCCTACCCAATATGGCCCCTCCTATCTTCGTGATCTTTTTTCTTTGTTTATAGCCCACTGAGCCCAGTGAGTGTTTCCTATGTGTACATGGGTGTGGGGCCATCCACATGAGCATGGAAAATGCACTAGCACCATGCTTCTGAAGAAAAATGGCTCTCTTGGACAGGCAAGAAGGCTCGGAGCTTGAGAGAGCTGATGGCTCAGGGGTTGGGACAGTTATCTGCTCTTGTAGAGAACTAGAGTTCAGTTCCCAGCACCACATTGAGCAGCTTGCAAATCCCTATAACTAGCTCCAGGGGATCCAGCGCCTTATTCTGGATGCTCTTGCTATTCTCTCTCTCTCTCTCTCTCTCTCTCTCTCTCTCTCTCTCTCTCTCTCTCTCTCTCTCTCTCTCTCTCTCTCACACACACACACACACACACACACACACACACACACACAATTTGCGCTCACGTTTTTTTTTTTTAATTAAGAAAGGTGACTCTTCCTGCCCCAGCAGCTCCTTAGCTAAGGTTAAGGCCTATGAGCCCCTTTTTCTATCAACACTGTCTTGTTGACAGCTGCTGTATATTCATGAGTGTGATAGCCACGGCGTGACCTTATGATATTTCACAGCATTACCCATCCTTCAGCTCTCATAGTATTTCTACCCCATCTTCTGGGATGTTCCTTGGACCTTGGTCAAGGTGTCCCATTTAGGGCTGAGCATTTGGCAGCTCTTTGATTGGTTATGTGTTTCTGCGTTAATTGATGCCCACTGCTAAAAAGATACTTCTCTGATAAAGACTGATATATCTATGCATATAAACATAAGCATTTAGAAGACATTTTGACAGCACGAACATTTAACAAAAAATAACAGTAATAGGTCATGCCTCA